TGCCACTGTAACCACCATTTCCCATACTACCACTGTATCCACCGCTGACTCCACTACCTTTCTTGTTAGTGTGCCTTCGATCCCATTCCGGACTCAAGTTATCGTAACCGTTACCGCGATAATCGGGATTCTTGATTTGATTGTCTGTGTTCTGACTATGGTAAGTATTGACTCGGTTATCGCTCATGTAACTGTTACTACCATAATTCATACCGAAAATATGACCATTTGAGTTATAGTCGCCAGGTCGACTGTTCATGTGGTAATTGTTACCTCGGTTATCGGAATTGTAACCGCTGCCCCAGCTATCGGAACCCAACCCGGTGATTCGATTTCCTGAACTGTAACCATTACCACCCCGGTTGTCCGATACGTAACTGCCACCGGTAACCCGATTGTCCGACACATATCCACTAACACTGACACGGTCGTTCGGGTTGAAGCTACCACCGTGGCCTTGCGTCGTGTATTGAGATCCGGGCAACGGTGGTGGGACGTTTGTACACCGGCTACATGGATCAATGGGCTGTCGACTGTCCCAACCATATGAAGATATGCCACCACGAGTTGTCCATGTCCCGCTAGCCGCGGTTGTTGGATAGTTCATCCCAGTGCCATGGTCCACCGAACATCCTGCCTGGCTCGTTCTAGATATAAGTTGCAATAGTAACACACATTTCACCACGTAGCATGGACTCTGGAAAAAGATTATATTGTTTTTTTAACGATTAATAATTTTTAATTGAACCTGAAAAGGGAGATAGTAATTATTATATAATATATATTATATATATTATTATATAATTAATGAATTATCTAGACAAATTTGACACTAAAACATAGTTTAATAAAGTTATGATATAAGAAGATAAACAAAAATTGATACCTGTCATCAAATTGACATATTATTGAATTTATTATCATATTATAATGACGGACTAGTAATTTATATTCTTAATTATTTATTCATTACATTTTTTAAATAAATCAATGTTTTATATTAAAAAAAAATACGAGCCATGGAGGGTGAATGCCCCCTTCGTCCCCTCCCCCTCAAATACGCCTTTGTGACTAGTTGACTTCCAATTCTCATTTAAAATTGTATATATTTTATTATTTTCTTTTTTAACACACATTAACGCACATTGTTAACCAAGCCTACTATAAAGTTGACAATTCTAAGTCTACAAAATCGAGAAGGAAAATGTGCGTAATTAAACGGGAATTAATTCGGCTGTACCTAATAAAATACCTTTTTCAAACCGGAACCAATTCGACAAGTGGAATTGGAGCTCGGGAACCAATTCGGTAACAGCCTACGATTCGACATATTCAAGAGTCATGTAAAACGCATGCCGATTTCTGAATGCGTGGAAAGCGATTTATTCAATGGGATCGTGGTTTAATTCGATGTACCGAAGACTTTTCGTTTTACAACACGCAAGAACATTCGGTTTACATGTAATTTTTAATCCGCAATAGTGAGATAGCACTCGGGCAATACGAATTATCACGATTGCGTTGCTTTTATAGGTTTTTTTTAACCATCACAAGGTGGTCGTGACGCAGGCATTATTATTATTATTATTATTATTATTATTATTATTATTGTGATACTGCCCGTTTCACGACAATGACCTGATCCGGTTCAGAGATTACTGGCCGAATATTTTGCCTCATTGTTCGTCTTTAATTGTTAGGCAATTTCCTTTTCCAATGAGTTTACACGAAAATACGATGATTTCGTCCTTGAAGCAATGGACTATCGTGACGTATTTCGTTAAAGGATCACCGACTACGGCGCCGCCCCGCGTAATTCGATTTTATTCGGCAATAATTCGCGCCCTCAAACGAATTACACGTAAATAATATATTAACATTTTTAACGTACACACATTCAAACTGAACGACGATTGTATGCATTTCATTCGTTCGTTTTCTTACTGCTTGGGGAGCACAAAAGTTTCGTCATCGCTACAACACTATTATAATGTTCTGTTATTCAAATACTACGACTTTCCGCTCCAAACGGATTCACAGGACTTCTTTTTTTCATTATTTCAATTAAACAATCGACGAACGTATGCGCGAATAAATATTACAATATACGTTGTCTAAAAAACAGTTGCCGCGCATTGTGAATACATCCCTGCAACATGCGCAATCGTAATCGTTTTGTTCCAAGACCGCGATTATGGTGTGCACAGCAGTTGTTTTCTAATAAGTTTCGAAACACTTGAACACGACTCACCACGTACCTACCATGCAGTTCCCCGGCGCTTTTCGCGTTGCGATTTATCAACGTGCAGCAGTACCTAAGCCCCGGTATAACTGTATTACCTTCGGTGCACGCGCACTGTACTTACTGTACGCGGACTTTACGCGGAAACCCCGAGTGTTTCGTAAACGCAATGGTTTTAATATTCAACGAACAGAAAACGCGTATTACCCCATGTTATTCCTGTTGTTGTTGGTTCGCACTGGCGTAAGTCGTAAGTGCTTTGTACGCAATGTAAAATTGCAATCATTTCGGCGTTAGAGTACCAACAACGTATTAAGAATTTTCGATTGTGAGCGAAACCGAGAAATGCGCGTTGAGTCCACAATCATGTTTTATTCATCTGTAAATGCTTTTTCTGTTATTCATTTTTTTTTCTTTTAGTAGATTAAAAATCCGACACATATAATTATATTATTTTTGATCATTTTTCGGGTACCTCAGAAGTTTTCCCACACGTAAGAAAAAACCGAAAACAATGGTAATTTTGTGTTATATGGATTGAACAATTGAAGCAAACTAATTACACTTGATCGAAAATCGTAAGACTATGCCCATTCCAATGTTTCAATTACATTCAGTTAAGTTTAAAATATGATAAAAACATTTATATTCTATAAAGGTAGTGTATTCTGACTTTAAAAATTATAGATAAGACATTAACCTAGTATTTATTTCAAATTAAAATTATGTTTTTAATCGTAGACAAATAAATGACTGAAAAGCAAAAGTCCAATATAAAAAAAAAAAAAAAATCACAAACTGATACATTCACCAAATATTAATTATCGTATTTATGTTAATATAAAAAAATAAATAAATACGACTCATAAAGGACATAGAATTAATACATCGGGAACTAGTGTATCTCTCGAATAATACTTATTAGAGTTGAGCAATAACTCAAAAGTCACAATTCGCAACAGTAGTGAATAGTTATTATTGTAACATTTTTTGGTAAAACTTATTTGGTTTTTTATATTTTTTTTTTTTCACCGTATTGTGTGTAGAAAAATTTTCCTCTGAGACAAGACGAGAGTTAGTTTATTTTTATAACATAGATCCATAGTTTCCATTTAGATTTCACAACATTAAGACTTATTATATTACAAATGTAAATATCATAAATTTATAATAATATGTCGCATATTTGCGTACCTATTTTATTTTCTACGGTGAAACTAAAAAAACTCATATTATTTACTGCATGTAAGACGTTGCGATGATAATACGTGAAATTAACACATATAATAAGTACATATACTCGAAAAAAATTATTATGCGTACAATATACGATGTGATATTATAATAAATTATAACAAAAAAAAAAAAATAAACGTATGATAATATCATCGAGTAACATATACGTATATTTCCTGTGACTTTATTAAAGAAAAAAACAAAATCACCGATAGCATATTTTTGGAAACTTAAATGGCATTTCGGATAGTCTTATTATTTATACTCAAGAGATTTTTCGCATAAAATATTAAAAATATTCGAGAGTAACAAAAAATGATGTATTCTTTTGAATTAGCGTTGTTACAAATCAATAAATGCAAAAAATATGCAGCGAACAAAAGCGTCTCAGAGTGTTATCCCGTACCTGATAAAAATTATAACCTTACTTAACGTAGTATATATTTTATATACGAGTATATACACTCAGATCTGCAGTGGAATGTATAGAAATGTTAAACGCTGCAGGAAGTTTTAACACATCAATGAGTCATTTATAAACAATGATCGAATATGTTATTGCGTTGTATTCAAACACTCAAAACCAATATTTTATTATTTTTATGTTATTCGATTTTTTTATTCATGCTCGTGTATTAATAATAATCATATATAAAACAAAACAAAAAAAAATATTCACGTTGATCAATGGTAAATGGACGTTACCTGATTGAATTTATAGAATTTAAGGATTTTAGAAATTAATTATAAAAAAATAACTTTAGGATGGAAAATAATCTTCCAACAATTCATTAGAATCGTTGAAAACTATCACTAACATTATTATGCTGTAACTACCAAGTGTCGAAACGCAATATTCGAAAATCAATTATTTTCAACAATTTTAAGTACCGTATGGTTTCTCTCACTTGGTATTATGATAATAACAAAAGATCCTTGTCGAAAGCATACCTTGTACAAGCCACGCGGATACAAACAGGAACCCCGCGAATAAAGAATATGTACCATTCAACAGCTCTACGTCTTCCTTTGTATCCGTCTTTGCATCGTTAAAATATTCAAAATATTATACAATCAAGTAACAGTTGACGTCTCCATTATGTATTATCCGATAGCTAAAAGTAAACTGTCTTTTTGCAAATCAAACGCTGTTTCCGAATTATTGCAATATTTTTTTCTTTTATGTAAATGATTAGCTTAATTAACTATTGTATTGTGTTAATTTGATTCTTTACTATGAACGTATAAAAAAATTATTTATTATTTATATGGTAATGAACAGTAAAGTAAAATAAAAAATGTTTGAATACTAGTAATCATAGAAATTAATATTTTAAAAACTAGAAATCTATTCACATAACCACTATACAAGTATATGGTATATTTTTAACTTAAAACTGACAAAAATTATAAATTTGTTTAGATAGTTTAGTTGATTTGAGTTTAGGGAAAGTTATGTATAAAATAATACATTCAAAGAATGTGGCACGTAAATAAAGCATAAAATACGTTATACGTTATACGTGGGATAAAATATTTAAGTATAAATTCAAAATAAAGGTTCCTTTTTTTAAGCGAAGAATATTATCTATGCGATGTTTTATTTTTTTTACTAACAAAAATGGATTCAAAGTTTTATATGTTAACATTTATAAAATATAATGTTAAAATATAATTTTTTAAAAAAAAAACTAAGGTGTTAAAGACAATATTATTTTTTTAAAACAAAAAAAATATAGAGCCTCTACTATGTATTTACACTGAAAGATTTTTTTCTAACACAATATGGTTTTAATGTCAACAAATTGTAAATAAATGATTATTTAATTTATAGATTGATGGATACAATGAAGGTCACGCGTTACACCGTCGCAAGTACCAGTATGCATCCGTATTGCAGCCCCTATCATGGTTAATCTATGAAGAGTTAAATCTGGGACACACTTTTTGAAGACTTGATTCTTCTTATGACATATTTTTTTATAAATTACAATTTATTAACTCAATCAAAACATTTGATTGGTACTTGTGCATGATAAGTATTAATTTAATACGAATTGTACAACAAAGAAAAAAAATAACAGTTATTAATAGTGACTCATTATAATTATGTAACATTGAATATTCAGATAACGCAACGCAGACATATCCGATAGAATCTCCTTATTCGATGTTTAACCGGTCAAACAAAGAAGGTTAACAAAAATATTATACTGATA